AATATAAAGATCTAGCACCTCAAATATATTAGGCCAAAAGAAACAATTTTCACAAATACATTTTTTAAATGATTCAGGAGACTAAAGATCGAATAGTTAAAACTGGGTATCTCTGGGGATAGAATTACAAAGAACTTTTATATTCTACATATATTTTTCTATAGCATTTAAGTTTTATAAGCATCTATTGATCTGACAAGAAAGATATTTTTCTTAAAGATACAGAGGATTTTATTAATACACTCAGAACAAATGTCTGTGTTATATATATCATGCTTCTTCTGATTACTAAGGTTCACCATGGGATACACCTCCACAATCACAGAATATAAGTTTTTTGAAGGCTGGATTTTATCTTATACAGCACCACAGACATACAGTACTCTAATAGACTGACAGTTAAGTTATTACTAAAAGACTTTAAAGAACAGGAAAGGCTGGGTATGGTGGCCCTCACCCCAATCCCAGCACTTTGGGAGGCCAAGGCAGACAGACTGTTTGAGCCCAAGATTTTGAGACTAGCCTGAGCAACATGACAAAACGCTGTCTCTACAAAAAACACAAAAATTAGTTGGCATGGTGGCAGTCCCAGCTACTCAGGAGGCTCAGGTGGAAGGATCACTTGAGCCTGAGAGGTCAAGGCTGCAGTGAGTCATAAGCGTGCCATTACATTCCAGCCTGGGTGACACAGCGAGACCGTCTCAAAAAAAAAAAAAAAAAAATGAATGAACAAAAAATTAGAGTGCTGTAACAGAAGTGACATGTGGAGGTTAAAAAAATATAGATATTCATTGGTATTCTGTACTCTTGGTTCAGGCAGCCTTCATTTTTTTGATGTTCAAAAACAGTACAATATATTTATAAAACAAAATTAGAGAAGATAAGATACTGTTTTCAATTACTTTGATAACACTGCATGGCACCTAGTATAATGGTAAAAACTGCATGTTTAATAAAAGTTTAATAACTATGTTGAGCAATTTTCTCACAGTTCTCTAAGGCTTAACAAACAGATGTTATGAAATAATTGAATAAAATACAAATGAGAGAAACTTTTTAAACAGAATCTTTGGAGTTATTTAGTTTAAATTTACTTTCTCTCACAAGTTTTTCCAGATCACCAACCAACTCCAACCTAAATTAGGTCTCATATTATAATCCCTCATTGTACCATTTATTTTCTATTCATAGCACAATTCATAATTACATATATATTTATGTAATTGTTCCATGTCTCCTCCATAGACTAAAAATTCCTCTAAGGTAGGAATTATGTGCAGTTTTTAAGTGTTACACTCCTTAGCATGCAGCATACTGCCTCCATCCAGAGAAGAGATCTAAAAAACAGTTGCTGAACGAACAACTTGAATTAACATTTCACAAAACATTTACCTAATGAAGTCTAATAGTGATAAGTCTACAGAAAATTCCAGCTGAGCAGAATGAGTATCCATCACATGATAACTAATAAAACCAGAAAGATTTCCTTTTGTAAAAGGTTTTTCTATCTGCACACTAAATTGAAAGCTTTTGGTGCTTTCTGCTTCCATTACAGGCACACAGCATCCAGGTTGCTCAGTGACCTGCAAATAAAAGTAGTAAAAGTGTTGAAGAAGTAAGGGATCAATACAGACTATTATGAGACTACCAATTTTCTATTTAATTCAAGCGGTACAAATCATACTAATGTGAGAAGTTAATAACAAACTACATGATGAAGATGACTGACAACTTCACTTGAGAAAAATTCACTAGAACAGATAATGAAGAAATAATAATTATATACACGTCAAAATTATGTTAACAAATGGCATTATAGTTAAAACTCTAATTATCTTGGCTGGCCCTAGGTTTTTAAAGACAGGAGTTTTAAAATAATTTTAAAGAGAATTTAAAAATAAATATAAATACATGTGTCATCTGTTCTCATTCTCTACCCCCAAGTTCTGGTGGTAGAATTAAGGCAACTGGGATCAGTTTTGTCTGTTTTTTTAAGTTCCACAGGTGATTCTTTTTCTTTCTTTCTTTTTTTTTTTTTTTTTTTTTTTTTTTTTTTTTTTTTTTTTTTTTTTTTTTTTTTTTGAGACAGAGTCTCCCTTTGTCTCCCAGGCTGGAATGCAGTGGCGCAATCTTGGCTCACTGTAACCTCTACCTCCCGGGTTCAAGCCATTCTCCTGCCTCAGCCTCCTGAGTAGCTGGGATTACAGGCATCTACAACTACGTCTGGCTAGTTTTGTATTTTTAGTAGAGACGGGGTTTCACCATGTTGGCCAGGCTGATCTCAAACTCCTGACCTCGTGATCCACCTGCCTCGGCCTCCCAAAGTTCTGGGATTACTGGTGTGAGCCACCTCGCCCGGCTCCAAAGGTGATTCTAATGCACATCTAGTATCAGGAACTTTTGCTCTGGTCAGTGGCACGACCATATCCCATTCAACATGTTCTAGCTCATAGAAGAATCTGGGCCAATTTTGTGGAAGATAAATATACTGGTCAAATCCCTTTATAACTCCACCAAGGACATTCATACAATAATGCAATTAAACATTCCCACAGTCACAATGGCAATCTCTGGTAGAGCTGGGGAAGAAACAGAACTGATACCTGAGCACTCAGTATATAAAAATAAACTGGTGAGAGAAGGAAAAAATATACACATTTATTCTTCAATATCTTTACTCCTTAATGCTCCACTTTGCTAAATAATTTGAGAATTTCATTTTAGTGTTTATAACAAAAGTGAATGAGACATTTAAAGAGTACAGGAAAAGAGAACACAAAATACACACTGAAAATAAAACAATAATACCTTGAAATTTTACCTTGAAATTTTCTGCAGGAAAAATTTCTAAGTTAGCATTTTTCAATTCCAAACCACTCTTATTAGTGACTGACCAGACCATCAATAAACAATCGTCTTTCCAAACTTTGTTAGAAGACACTGATATGGTTTCATTATTACAGACTTTCATAACATCTGAGTGTATGTATTCAGTAGTTTCTTCCAAAAAAGATGAAGCCAAAGAGCTTTCATTGGCAACTGAGGCTGTAGACGATTGAGGAGGGTGAAAAATTTCCATGTTGTTATCAGCAAACAACGAAGGTGTAGACAGACTGCAGTGTGAGAATTTCTCAACCAAGGGCAGTTCTGTGAGTGACTCAGAATCCAAAAGTTCCGAATTGAGAGAAAATTTCTTTAACTCTTTGTCTCCTCTATCATGCAAAGTATTTAAATAATAATTGTCTTCATATGCCGCATTTGACAAAGAACCGAAGGAAGAACAGGTCATATTATGAGTAGTGGTTGTTTCACCACTTTTGGTGTCCTTGACTTTTGATTTCCTTCTGAACTTGTGAGAGACAGTATCTGCTTTTCCCAGCTGTAAAAATAAAACATAATAATATATGGAATCAGAAAAAGAAATAAGGTTAAAAGATCACTCATGAACAAAAAACTTGTTAGATTTCAGAATAATACAATATAGAACCGAACAAATTAAAAAACAGTGAGAGACTTGGCCATTTTTTGAGTTGCCATAGTTGTTCTGTAAGTCCAAGTTACTCTTGAATGCAGGGATGACCCAACCTCTGTTTTAGTCATCTATAATAATCATGATTTCATGGCCTGTGAGTTAGTAAGCAGGAAAGAAAAACTGGTTTTCCCTCAATAATTAATTGGCAGTAGCTGACTGGAACACTCAGCAGGAAAGAATTCAATAACTGACTAGTGATGTTTGCCACACATTCAGGAGATAGAATGGCAAACTTGCCATCCTTGGTCTAAATCTTCTGAAGAATGATCTGTGAATCTACGTAAGAGGAGTGATGGTTCAAGTGTTTCCTTGCCTCACAAAGTTCTATGTAAAATCAGTACAGCAGACTGGCACTACCCTAAACTTCCACCCCCGCGGGGGGCTTCAAAGCTACACAGCAGCCTTTACATGATTCTAGTTGACCAAATTCTAGTTCTGTTTTCATACCTTCTCCAGCACTCTCCTCAAGCCCCAACACCTTCTTCAACTCTAAACAGATGACTTTTGTCTCTCACCTCCAAATTCAGAAGTCCACAAACAAAAACTAACATTTTATTAACACAAAAACAAGGGGGCACAAAAACTACAGAAAATAATTCCTATTAAATAGTAGTTATTATTTTAATAGTAGTTATTTTCAGTAGTTTGGAACTCAAGTTAGATGTATATTAGAGGCCAGGCATGGTGGCTCATGTCTGGCCCAGCACTTTGAGAGGCTGAAGTGGGCGGATCACTTGAGGCTAGGAGTTTGAGACCAGCTTGGCTAACATGGTGAAACCCCATCTCTACTAAAAATAAAACAACGAATTAGGTGTAGTGGCATGTGCCTGTAACCCCAGCTACTCAGGAGACTGAGGTGGGAGAATCACTTAAACCTGGGAGGGGGAGGGTGCAGTGAGCTGAGATCATAACACGCACTCCAGCCTGGGCAACAGAGCAAGATTCCATCTCAAGAAAAAAAAAAAAAAGATGTGTATTAGACTGCCTGTTACTGTTACCCAGGTTACTGATGCTTTCTATTCCTTTTTTTTTTTGTCTTTTCTGGTCTTTTTTCTTTTTTTTTTGGTCTATGTTTCATTTTGGATAGCTTCTATTACTTTGTCTTCAACTTTAATGATCTTTTCTTCTACGCTGTCAAACTGTTGTTATTCAGAAGCTATACAGGTCACATCTTTGTTATAATACTTAAAGAAACAGATAAGCATAACATACTCAAAAAAAAAAAAAAAAAAAAAGGCTTAAAAATGAAGGTGAGGCAGGGCCTGGTGGCTCATGCCTGTAATTCCAACTTTGGCAGGCTGAGGGAGGTAAATCACCTGAAGTCAGGAGTTCAAGACCAGCCTGGCCAACATAGTAAAGCCCGTCTCTACTAAAAATACAAAAATTAGCCGGGCATGGTGGCATGTGCCTGTAATCCCAGCTACTGGAGAGACTGAGACAGGAGAATTGTTTGAACCTGGAAGGTGGAGGTTGCAGTGAGCCAAGATTGCACCACTGCACTCCAGCCTGGGCAACAGAGTGGGAGACGCCATCTCAAAA